TGGATTCACCTGTGTATGTAGGTCAGGGGTCACTGAGCTTACCAAGCCAATTTGAGTTCCAATAATTAGTTCTAAAGGTTTTGGAATCAACAAAATGACAATAGTGCCCAAATTTATGCACCTGCCTGATTTTGTTTAAACAATTATTGCACACTTTCTGTAAATCCAATAAACTTCATTTCACTTCTCAGATATCACTGTGTGTGTCTCCTATATGATATATTTAACTGACATTTTTTATTGTAACAACCAACGATTTATACAGGAAAATAATGACTATTAACAAGGTTGCCCAAACTTTTGCATCCCACTGTACCTTTGAAGACCATAAGTCACCCAAACCAGCTGTTATATTAAAATATCATAACACCTATGCTGATAATAATCACCATGGCTTATGAGAATTCTGACTGGTTCATACATTTGCCATGACTCGTTGGGATCATTGTCCTCTTCATTGCAGCGTGGACTTTGGATGTTTCTCGAGGAGGATATGGGGGTCATGAAAGCTCCTCTGTAATTATCCAGGAGCTAGGAACAATTTCTGTGTCACTAATACTGACCTGCATAATGCACCACTTCATGTTTTTTTTGTTTTTTTAAGTTATCCTGTCTATGATAACTAGGGGGAAAAGAATAAATAATGAGTTCATTAACTGGCTTTAGAGCTTGATAAAAAAAAAAAAAAGATTAATGTTTGACAAGGATGGCAATCAATGTTGTGCTGTCAGGGCATAAAGGATATTTCCTAGTAAAGTTTTGGAGCTTTGTTACACCAAGCCTGCAGTTCAACCGCCACACTCGGTAGCATCCAATTCTGGGGGTACTGGAAGTAAGACTTGTTATAACAAAACCTTCAGAAAAGTATTAGCATGTTTCAGCAGTGCCATCTACAAATTGTACTCCTTAAGACAGGGTGCACTTTTCAGTTACTACCTTTCTGTATTGTTCTGAATGGCCTATCTGAGCCACAAGTGCATCATAATGCAGGTGCAGTAACCTGTGTCCTTTTTTCAGTTGTGACACCTTTACATGAAGCTTTTCTGAAAACCTTTTCACAGTTTGTTCTAAAAACAAGTGAAGCTTGTGCAAGAAATTTCATTTTCATAAGGAAATCCTGAGAGTTATCTAAAGGCCTAAAGAGTCCACCAGCTGTATCCAAACCAAAATGATGGTATTCCCCACCATCCATGTTTTATCCCTACCATCCATCTTTGGGTAATTCTGGGTGAAACACATGCAAAATGCCCAAGACTGCAGTCAGTGCCACTAAAGAGACTGAAAATGTTGAAGCACAGTATTTTAAACTTGTTATTAGGAACTCAGTAGTTGGAGCTTCAGCACCACCATCAGTATCAGTATGATGTGAATCAACAGCTGATGTACAGCAGTCGTGAGCTCTGTCCAGTGATACAGAAGTCTCACTGACTTCTAAACTCAGCTAATAGTCCCTGCCATTTCTTTTAACTGGTGGCTTGTGTGCAACTGAGTGACAAATGTCTGAAACCCCCGACTCCACGCCAGCATTGACCTAAGGTTGCACCTCGTTGACCAATTTGATTCCATTATGAGTGCTTTTAAAAACCAGTTAAAAACTTTTGTATTCAAACAAGCCTTTTGTTGATCTACGTATTTTATATTCTTTACATTATTTACATTTAACCTCTTACATTGTGTATAATGTCTATTGATTGTACTGTTGTCAGGGGTTGACATTTTAATTATTTTAATCTTTGTGTACAGTGCTTTGTGACTGCCTGTCTGTGAAAAGCACTTAATAAATAAACTTTACTTACTTACTAGTGTTGTGCAAGTTCAGACTTTTATAACAAAGGATATTTTAAGGACTTGTTTATCTTACTGTGCTTAACTGGAATCTGAAATAAGACAATGAAAAGATGTTAATAAAAAGAGGGAGAACTTAAAATTCAAATACATACTAATTACTTACACATTATCCCCCAGACGTTTCTCGCAAATTCCAATAAAATTTCACCTTCACAATTCCACCCCTATAATACAGTTAAAATACTCTAATTATCTGAGTGTTAGGTTTGTTTTAATGAAAGAGCCCTGAGAATTAATCTAAAGAACTGCTGCTTTTTTTCAATCGTTCCACTACTAGTATCTGTGTCTAACAGCTGACCTGTCAGATGTGTAGAAGAATACACAAGTATAAAGTTACCCATTGTCCAAGTATTACTAGCTTTTGCCTCTGAGCAGTGCTGTGTGTAACCTTTTCATTATTAAAGTCAAAGAAAATAATATGATAGACACCTGTGTGCAGCATCAATAAGTTTAAACTGTTTATTTAAAATCCTAAGAGACTAGCAGGGTTGGCTCTACATTTCAAGGCTGTTGATTACAACTATTGATAACACCGTGTAAATTACGGTACAAAGTGCGTAATTGTAAAATAATAAAAACTTAGTTAGAAAATAACATTTTGAAGCAACTTTATAGCCAGCCATTCTTTTTCGCTTATCCTCGTCGGGGTCACGGGTGTGAGGCTGGAGCCATGGGGCGAGGGGTGGGGGGTACACCCTGGCTAACAACTTTATAGCATCATTGCTAATATAGCTAGCTAGCTTTATGGAAGGAAAATTCTGAAAATTATGACATGAAAATGTAATATTTTCTCAGATATTGTGTTGCCTAAGAAAAGCATACTTTTCTCCTTCTGTTTAAGCTAACTTGCCCTACTATTTTGTATGG